CTTGAGCCCAGGAGTTGGAGGTTGCTGTGAGCTGTGATGCCACAGCACTCTACCCAGGGGGAAAGCTTGAGGCTCTGTCTCAAAAAAATAAATAAATAAAATAAATAAAAAATTAATTAAAAAAAAAAGAGTCTGCCAGAGCAAAGCAAAGAACACAATCAAACAATATATGATGCCTTGAGGGTGTAATCTAAGCACCTATTAGAGCCAAGACTAAGGCTAGATTTATTTAGGAAGCCTCCAGCAAGACTGGCCAAAATGTTTATGTTTCTGTGCCTTGCAACCAAGAGTCTGACTAATAATTAATTTGATGCATAATCACTTCTGAGAATCTATCCTAAGAAAATAAATAATCTTTTTTTTTTTTTTTGAGACAGACTCTTACTATGTCACTTTTGGTAGAGTGCTATGCCATCATGGCTCCTAACAACCTCAGACTCTTAGGTTCACGCTATCCTCTTGCCTCAGATGTCCTAGTGGCTGGGACAACAGGTGCCCACCACAATCCCTGGGTAGTTTTTTAGAGATGGGATCTCATTCTAGCTCAGGCTGGTCTCAAACTCCTGAGATCAGGCAGTCCACCTGCCTCGGCCTCCCAGGGTGCTAGGATTACAGATGTGAGCTACCATACCCAGCCTAGAAAATAATCTTATACATGGGAAAAGCCATATGCTTCAGGGAAAGTAATCCACATCAAAATATTCAATGTATATTTAACAAAGGAAAATTCAGAAACAACCTATTATGCAACAAAAGGATAATAATTTATAATTTAATAGTAACATTTAATAATATATATATTTTTTGAGACAGAGTCTCACTTTGTAGTTGTAGTTGTCATTGTTGTTTGGCAAGCCCAGGCTGGGTTCGAACCCACCAGAACTGGTGTATGTTGCTGGCACCCTAGCCATTGAGCTACAGGTGTCAAGCCATTTCCCCTTATTTTTTATAATAAGCATATATTATTTCTAATCATAAAATTATGTTAAGAGCAAATTAAAATGATATATACACTATGACAACCTTGTAAAACTTTGTGTTCTCCTATGGACACAGACTAAAGAGAATATAAAAATAGTTACAATAGAGTAGAAATTTTTTTTTTCTTTTCTTGAGACACAGTCTCACTCTGTTGTCCAGGCTACAGTGGCATGGCCTCAACCTAGCTCACAGCAACCTCAAACTCTTGGGCTCAAGTGATCCTCCCACCTCAGCCTCTCAGAGTACCTGGGACTATAGGCACCTGCCACATTGCCCAGCTCATTTTTCTATTTTTAGTAGAGACAGGGTCTCATACTTGCTCAGGGTGGTGTCAAACTCCTGAGTTCAAGAGATACTCCCACCTTGGTCTCCCAGAGTGCTAGGATTACAGGTGTGAACCACTTTACCTGGCCTAGGGTTCAAAAATGTTAAAGTTGAGACATTCATGG